TGATGAGAATAACAATGATGTATTAAAAGGAATGCGTACATATTACTCAACGTATGCGTCTCTATGTAGTATATATGCAAGTGTGTATTGAGCAGAAATGATTTATTGATATATATCTATATAATTCTTACTATTAATGAAACATTTGATCACTATATTATCACAATGCTTAATTCACCAACACCAGCACACACTAATCATTATCACTAAAACAGCTACTAACAACTATTAATTAGATCGATAAAATTGTATTACAAGTTGTGTGTTTTTGTTTTTCTTTCATTTTTCTGTATCATGCTGATTTACTATAATATGAAAGGGGTTCATAAAGCAAGCCGCACACAAAAGATGATGTAACTATATACACATACAAGATATTATTATTATTATAGAACCTTGGTATTTGATTCATCATACAGAGTGTACAAAAAGGAGCGTGTATATAGAAACAGGTAAAGAAGAGAGATCACGGGAAAGTGTACTTTAAGTAAAAGTTAAACACGTGACCATCATCTTGTACTATGTATAATAAAAAGAAAAAAGCAATATATACATACATACAACATACATACATAGTAACAAATTATGATTAAACATTTAGATGACAATTAACTTTGAATTGTTAGATCATGTAAAGTTTATAATTATGTCATTGCTCATTTATATTGATTCGTTTCTAAGTAATTAGGTCATTTTTTTTCTCACGTTCTATTCTATTCTAGATTGATTTTATTCACGTTAATATTATATACACGTCATTTATAGTATATAAATGCACTTTCAGGATGTTAGGCAATCAGTATAAAACATTGAACTGAAGTTTTATGCGATTTGATATGGTATATTTTGTAATTATCAGAATGTGTTTTGTGGAGATTTTTAGAGATTTTCACAGATTGAGAAGTCGTTACTAGTGGAGTTCAACCAGGTCTGTTGTGAGATAGGAACTCACTGAAGACAATGGTGTACGGTAGCGCAACTTCGTGGATTGGTTGAAGTTAGACATTAACACCGTTGGATGCCGGCTCAGTGGTCTAATGGTTAAGTGCTCACGCGCGAAGCCAGTAGGTCCTGGGTTCGAGCCCCGCGAGGTGCGGGGTCGTGGGTGCGCACTGCTGAGAAGTCCCATACTAGGACGAAACGGCCGTCCAGTGCTTCCAGGTTTTCAATGGTGGTCTAGCTTCAACTGACTCATGAGTTCAATCTGTGAAAATACTTTGTAATTGTTAAGAAACTTGTGCTGCCCAACTCATTCGGTGTGGCGCATTTATATATTTGGTGCCCCCCCCGTTGTACCAATATTTATGTGTTCAAATAAATAAACATTCGGTCTCTATATCATCCAGGTTAATAATTTCTAGCAATACCATTAGCTTATCGGGATCTGAACTGATCTTCTGTAGGATTGAGATATTTACAGATTGTCGATTACCGAGTAAAGTGATCAGTGTTAAGATATTGGTGGGTACTTTTAATTTAAAATAAAACCTATCAAAGGTTTAACGTATTACACTTGTTGTTAAATCATTCAATGAAGATATTTAAAATAACCAAACTACTTAATTTGATTATAATAATGATCCTTTTGATTGAAGGTATAAACTTCTTAACACTGAATAAACTTGGTTACTAAAGGCGTAATAGGTAATGTGATGTGAGGTCATCATAGTACACGAACTGAGCTTTCAAAATTGTGTTTAATAAACGATCGAAAAGATCTATACCTCAGGTACCCTGGTACGGCCGAGAGTGGGGAGAGTCCGCTCTCCCTCTCGAAATGCTCTCACATGGCCACGCGTATACAGCCTCTGTCAGGGAAGTCCTACTCGCTGCCTTCTCGTGGCGAGGGTGTTGTTTACGAAAACGAGAGGACGAAAAGCGAATGTCCGGCGCTATAACCGGATTCCAAACCAATGGTGCACATGGGCTCCAGTATCCTGAGGGAACAAATAGCGTATGAACCAATTGTTGGTCACCGGCTTCCATGGGACTGCATCTCCTTACGATGCTCCACTGCCTTGTGGATCAGACCTTCAGGTCGAAGGCTCGGGGTGTGGTCCCCTAAGATAACCACCTGCTTCGGTTTGGGCACCCGAGCAGTATCACAGCCCTCACACATATCGAACGAGATTTGTGTGGCGCATATGTATTTGGTGCCTCCTTGTACCAATGTCTATGTGTTAAAATAAATAAAATAAAATAAATTTGGTAGAGTTTTGTTCTCTGAGCTAGATGGTTTGGTCGAGTGTCTAATAATTAATGATAACTTGGTACAACGTACAGTTGACTTAAAAGGAATTGAGAGGTGAAAATTTAGTTAATGGTCTAAACCAGTAAGTTTCGATGATCTTGATAGAGAATGGGCTTACACGATGTTAAAAATAATAATTCATCAAAAAAAGCCTAACCGATAATTGTACTACACAATGAATTTTAATTGTACCTAAATTAATGGTTGGTTTGGTTGTCAGAAAGAGCGTCAGCCTCGTGACTTCCGAAGGAAGTCGGGTTTCATCATGAGGATTTATAACTCTTCTAAATAAAGACCTTCTCACTCCGTGGGCAGAGTTAAATGGTTCGAATGATTTTTTTTCTGATCAGCTGAGGAGCCCCACAATGCGACGAAACGGCCGTCCAGAGCATTCAGGTTTCCAACGGTGGTCTGAAATCAATCAGTTCATGATCTCAATCAAAAAATTAATAACCTCCACAACCCCTATACTGATAATTTCTTTGGTGAGTTAGTTTTGTACAGGACGGGGTCGTTCATCCCATGAACAACCCTCCTCGTTTACCCGGGATTGGGACAGGCAGTAGCCCCAGGGTGGATCCAGGCAAGGTCAGAATTTTCAATACAAATGTCAAAACAGTTCTACTGTATAGGGAAGAAACTTGGACAACTACGAAAGCCAGCATTCAGAAGAAACATGTGTTTATTAACAATTGTCTACACAAAATACTTCAGATTTGTTGGCCAGACACTATCCACAACAACGTACTGTGGGAGAGAACAAGCCATATTCAGGAGGAGGAAGAAATCAGGAAGAAGTGCTGGAAGTGGATAGGACACACATTGAGGAAAGCACCCAATTGCGTCAGAAGGCAAGACCTCACATGGAATCCTCAAGGCCGAAAAAGAGGGGGAAGACTGAAGAACATGTTACGTCGAGAAACGGAGATAGACATAAGAATGGACAATAATTGGATAGAACTAGAAACGAAGGCCCAGAACAGAGTGAGTGGGTTGGAGAATGCTGGTCGGTAGCCTATGCTTCATTGGGGGTAACAGACGTAAGTAATTAATGAGTGAATTTTAACCTTTGAAAACAAAGAAACAAATGGCTGTATCACCTAGAGAAAATTTGATTAATTTCGCTAAGGTGAAATAAATGAACTAGATTTCAGCTATTGAGAATATTAGAGAAAAAACAGAGATTTGTATTGAATTCAACTAGATGAGGAAAATATTGTGTAGTTATACTATTTTCTAAGGTACAAATAAGAATTAACTGATTAATGAGAAGTGGAAAATCAAACTTTATTTTATTCAAGGTGATTCTGTTTCAACCAACTTCAGCAAATCTTTTACGAATTCTATTCATTAACTTTCAGTTGTAATAGTAGTGGAATCTAGGACACGTGTTTCGTCCTAATAATTGGCTATCAGGACTCAGTAGCTAAGTGAGTGACGCAATGGCGTTCGAGGCGGACGGTACCGGGTTCGAGTCCAAGAGTGAACACCAACTCTGAGGCGCAGGTACGTTCAGCTGACGAGTCCTAAATAGGACGAAACGCGCTTTGTCCTGGATTCCACTACTAGCCACTATTTATCTTTGCTTATAATGCTTATGAATTAGGGCAACATAGAGGTAATACACACATTATGTATATATGGCAATAAGAGACTGAACAATTGCAGTCCTTAACAACAATGGGAAGATTCAAGTAAACAACACGAATTGAATTAATTTAAATAAACAAAAATATTCTCTAGTTTCTTTCAATACTTCTTCTTCTTCTTAACAAGATTAGCTTTAATGAATAGCTAAGAGTTAAAAGATAGTCAAACTGATGTATATAGTATTGCAGCTGTCGTTGAAGTTATCATCGTACATCTCGCATTCCATAACATAGATTTATCGGGAGTAACTCAACAATAAATATTTTCACAAGTTGAAATCATGAGTCAATTGAAGCTAGACCACCATGGAAAACCTGGAAGCACTGGACGGCCGTTTCGTCCTGGTATGGGACTCCTCAGCAGTGCGCATCCACGACCCCGCACCTCGCGGGATTCGAACCCAGGACCTACTGGTTTCGCGCGCGAGCACTTGACCACTAGACCACTGAGCCGGCATCCAACGGTGTTAATGTCTAACTTCAACCAATCCACGAAGTTGCGCCACCGTACTCATGATTTCAACTTGTGAAATTTCTAAAAATCTCCACAAAACCCATTCTGATAATAATAAATATTTTGTTTAAAAATTCGAAATGATAACTACTAAAACTAGTTTTTTGGGTGAGGTAGTGATGTGAATGGAGTTTCCGGGGTGAACAAATATATTGCCCAACAAAATTTGCATCACTTACATTTGAAACAAGAATACCACTACCGATCAAGAAAGTAGAGGGGGTGTTGTTTACGAAAATGAGAGGACGAAAAGCGAATGTCCGGCGCTTTAACTGGATCTCAAACCAATGGTGCACATGGGCTCCAGTATCCTGGGTGAACGAATGGCGTATGAACCAATCGTTGGCTACCATGGGAATGCATCTCCTCACGATGTTCCACTGTCTTGTGGGTTAGACCTTTAGGTCAAAGGCTCGGGGAGTGGCCACCTAAGAAAATTACCTGCTTCGGTCTGGGCACCCGGGCAGTATCACAGCCCCCCCACACACACACACAAATATGGTGTGGTGCATATATATTTGGTGCTCTATTGTACCAATATTTATATGTTGAAATAAATAATAAATATAAGAAAGTATCAACTTACCCTTGACCAATTTTTTCTAATCTTTGATATTTTCTATTTGGATCACCAATACTAACAATCATTCGAAGTTTTTCTTGTATCATTTCATCAGTCATTTTAGATTTACATTTTTTATTTAAATTATTACGTTCTAATGTATTAGTTGTATGGTTATTATCATGATTATTATGATTAGTATTATTGTCCATAGGGTTAGTAATCATAGTATTTGATGAGATTTGTTGATGATTTATTGATTTAACTGTACATGTTGTAGTTGAAGTATTAATAGTATTATGAAAATTATGTTGACTACAAGTAAGAGAATGATTATGTATAGAGGTGATATTAGTCATGGGCATTGTTGTTGTTGTTGTTGTTGTTGATGATGATGATGTCATGGATATTGATGTATTTGTTTGATTGATTGTTGATCGAATATTATTAATATCAGTATTCGTAGAAGAGGTAATAGTTGTACAAATAGAATTTGTCATTTTATTATGATCATCTACAATAGTAGGGATAGTAGGTGTATTATTATTATTAGTTAATAACATTGTTGTAGATTCATCATCGAATTCATAAGAATTAGATTTTTTCATTGATAAAATAGTAAGATCAGTTGATTGTAAATAAACATTTGGAAGTTGTACTGATGTTGAATTGATACTTATAGATGAATCATCGTTATAATTGATGGGTTGAATGGTTGAATTGATATCTTCACCAACTGGTTGAGTGTACTAAAACAATAAATAGTAGTGGAAATAATAAGAGAGTGATATTAAATTATATTTACATGATAATGAATAGTAGATATTACATAAGAGTTATTGCATAATCAACTCCGCCTGGAGCCGAGTGCCGGTTCCCAAGTCCGGATAAAGGAGGAGGGTTGGGTATGGGGTTGGAGACCCTTTCCCGTAGAAAACTAACTCGCCAAAAAAACACTAGCCAGAAAAGAATTATTCAAACCATTTAAACTTTGTCGCGGCCCAGATAGCTCAGTGGTAACGTCTCTGAATGTGAAGCTGGGTGGCACGGGATCGAATCCGCCAGAGAGCACCAGTTCCCTCAAGATTACAGGTATACCTTGCTGACGAGTGCCAAGTAGCACGAAACCCGGGTCCAAGGTTTCCTGTCGACTACTTCCAACCACCATCTAATTTGTCCTGGGAGTTAGAAGGTCTTCATTTAGAAGAGTTATGACGCCTCATGGTGAAAGCCGAGTTCTTTTGGAAGTCACGAGGCTGATGCTCCTTCTGGCAACCAGAGCAATAATTTGTTTAGGTACATGGAATACTCATAAATGTGGGAGACCGGAAGAGTCTTCCGAAATGTTGCTGCCTATTATATAATCTAAAAGTAATATTCATCAAGAACTAATAACACTAGCGCAATACACGTATACAGAAATAATGAATATCTATTGTGATTATGAATTAAAAAAATCCATTAAAATTGTATGAAACTGGTAGATAATGATTACAGTGAATTATATGTATATATAAGCTCACTATTTCTTAACAGAAGTTGTGTTTTGTACAATCGAATGAATTGGAAATGGATCAGTTCTCGTTGCTAATGATTCAAAAAACACATAAATCGGCTGTAACTGAAAAATCTAAACTTTTCGATTACAATAACTCAGCAACTAAATAACATTTCCCCAAATGCTCTGGTATGATCGCGAGTGAGGAGAGTTAACTCTCCCTCTCAAAATCCTCTCACATGTTCACGCGTATACAACCACTACAAGGCAAGTCCTATTGAAATGATGGGAAGAAAAGTTCGAGTTCGATTGATTTACTCATTATGAGTTTTGTTCAACATTACTTCTGTTTTCTAATTCAATGTGAAAATTATTCAGTATAGTATTTGTTTCTGTTTCCCAGAGTGATCTTTTATTCTGTATAACATACGATATTCTTGTATTCCATTGATTATGAACTATACTCAGCATATGATTTGTTATAACTGTGAGTATTTTCTATATATATGATTTCATCCTAATTACTAATCAAAGTCTATGTACAATCGATATATAAATGAGTGTGCTTTCGACTAGGGTCGTCGTGTTTTAGGGGTTAATAAATCTTAATTTTTATCAGTCTTTGTGTTCTTAATTTCGTGTCGTGGGAATTGAGGAAGTCCCTTGTTTCGAGTATAAATGATAAGCGTTTCCAACACAACAATCATTGACGACCAGATATAACAAGTAGCGTTCAATCGATAAGACATATTATCTACTCACTGTCTCCTCGCCGTATTACTGTTGGTTATGAAATTCAGATGACGAAAAGAGAATGTCCTTTGCTTTAACCGGGTTGTTGGATATGGAAGATCCACCTAGTTGGGTTGGAAAACCCTCATTCCAAACCAATGGTGTACATGGGCTCCAGTATCCTGAAAGAACAAATGGCGTACGAACCTATTGTTAGTCATCGACTACCATGTGACTGCATCTACTGTCGTTCCTCCACTACCTTGTGGATTAGACCTGTAGGCCGAAGGCTCCGAGTGTGTCCTCCCAAGAAAATCACTTGCTTCGGTTTGGGCACCCGATCAGTATCCTAGCCCTTACACAAATTGAATTATTTACATGGCGCATATTTATTCGGTACTCTTTTGCACAAATATTTATTTGTTCAAAAAAAATATAAAATACTGAATATCTTACTTCATATCATACTACTAATAGTACTATTATCACTAATGTAAACACCATGTTTTTTTAAGAAAAAAGAGTTAAACAGAACACGCATATTACACTGGTGGTAGGCAAATAAGACAACAGAAAAAAATGGGGAAGTAAAGATGTGTATTTCAATTCTCCTAAGTATGACAACATATCGTTATTATTGCTACTTTTACGACTGATCATCTTATCCCCCTCTCGCTCTCTTTCCTTATTGACATAACTAACTTTGTATAGGTTTATAACAAAATTATCCATATTATACATTGCAATCTATAAATAAATAGCCTACAAGCAAATACAAATGAAATCACATTTTTTTTTAAAAAAAAAAGTAGGGGGGAGATTTAACGGTACACACATACGAGAAATGGATAGATACAAAACACATATGAACTAATAAAACTTTAAAAATAAAACAAAGTTCTTTCCAAAAAACTTGGTATTGATTATACAACAGTGCTATGTATCGGTGGGGGGGGGTGGTTATTTGATAATCTTGGTGAAATTTTTTTACTTTTTAATTCTATCTACATCTATCCAGCTAATAATTATTGCCATCATCGGATACAAATAATTTAGTTATAGCTTAATGTGTGTTTTTGTTGTTGTTGTTGTGGGAGACAGGGTGCTGGTGGTGGTGGCGGTCGGTAACAGATATCTTCTTATGAATAATGTTAAATAACCATATAAATAAGTACGTCAATCTAATTAATAATATCCAACTTAACATGAAAACATACAATTTCAATTTTCCTTCTTCACACATTAATAATATACATCTGTGAAATTGAATCTGCTGAAGTGTATTTCAACGGAAAATGAATGATACACACATAATTTAAATGAATTAATCATATTAGTAATAAGCAAAGATGGATAGTGGCTAGCAGTTGAATCTAAGACGCGCGTTTCTTCCTATTTGAGACTCATTAGCTGGATGTACCTGCATCCTAGAGTTGATGTTCACTATGGGACTCCAACTTCATACCGTTCGCACTAAACGCCATTTCCTTATCCATTTAGCTACTGAGTTGTGATAGCCACTTGCTTACGCAATCGGGTGATCTTTGCTTACAATGTTTATGAATTAAGGCAATATCGATGCAATACACAGAGTATGCACATAATAATAAGAGACTGATCAATTGCAGTTATAAACATCAATGGGAAAATTCAAGCAAAACAATATCAAGCGAATGTTAGTAAAAATTTATGGCGCATTCATCTATGAATAAATGTGTTATTTCTTACACAGATGTAATCGAAACCAACATGAATAAGTAGTATAAAATGAAGATGAAAAAGTGTAAAGATAACAGGACATAGATTGAAAACAAATCCCCTGATGCTTGATGAGTAGAGGTAAACTAAAAGAAAGTTAGGATTAAACAAACGGAAACGTAGCATCAGTCCAAGAAATTACTGTCTATTGGTCTGAATCATGTTGGTAGGTTGAAACTACAAGTTTGGGGGTCTGAAACATAACCACGATCAGTAGTTGGAGAAGTTTGATAACACGGGTCAGAATTAGCCACAGCAATACAGATTCATTTACTCTTCATCTCCTATATCTTGAGTTCCAGTAATCCTTCATATATATATATATATATATATATATATAGTCACCTGAACTCTAACCAAGTAGTCTGCATCTACCAACATAACTAAGACTAGAAGTTATTGACTTCAAGCACTGATGCTACGTTTTGGTTTGGCCACCCGTAACTTTATTCCAACCATTCCCAACACCGGTTAGCATTGCACGACGTGGTAATCGGTGTTCAGGCATACGTAACACGTGGCCCAACCATCTCAGTCGATGAAGATTCACAACCTCATCAACTGATTTACCAAGCTCAACATCTTGTTAATTCTATTTTATCGTACTAAAATGATATGGTAATTTGGCAAAATACACATTTTTGCCAGGTTCAATATTGATTATAAGTGTTACCAAGAATGAAATAAACTCTTTTTACAGTATTTTCATCAAGTTTTAATAAACAAATAGAATAGTTTGATGATGCACATCACATAAACGTAAACAAATACACATATAAGTACACTATATGCCTAGAAAAATTAAGAATACATTTTCAAATCAACAAGAAGAACGAATAAACAAAATGAATATGTAAACTTTATCCAAGATTAAAAGAATGAAGGCATCATTATAATTGGTTCATTATCATAAATATAAATAAAGATACAATGCATAGCAAACTTATTTATATAGCGACCTCTTCATTATCCCACATTAGTTTTATAGAAACATATAGAATTTCATATATATCGTAGTGATAAATGGTGAGTTTGAACTCTATGTGTATAACAACATTGAGATTTGATAAACATATCTAGCTATTAAGTCCAAAATAGGAAGAAACGATATGTTCTGGAGTTCACTGGTTAGCGTATTTTTTTTTTTTTAGCGAGTTACTTGTCTACAAGATGGGGTCGCTAACCCCATGCCCAACCCTCCTCTTTTATCCGGGCTTGGAACAGACAGTAGTGATAAACGGTGAATTTGAACTCTATGTGTATAACAACATTGAGATTTGATAAACATATCTAGGAAGAAACGATATGTTCTGGAGTTCACTACTAACCACAATTCAGTTTTATTATGTCAACAACATTCATTTTAATGTTATGTGATTATCAACAGTATTCTAACCAATAACAATTTACTCTAATATGGTTTCAGTACTGTTTAACTAAGCAACTAATGAAAACAACTCTGCTTTGAATGTTGTATAGAGTTCAATTATCTGTGCAACGATAAACACATCTCATTAAAATGAAATAAACTTATCATATAAAAGTTACTAGATTCCATAAACACTATATTTGTTTGTACAACAAGAGTGTAAAAAATGGAACAATTCTGTTGTGGTAGCTACATTAAGATATACATATAATTGGGATACAACAAACGAATAGAGATCATGATACAATTCAAGCCAGACCATCATTAAAAACCTGGAAGCACTGAAGTTCCACAATAGGATGAAACAATCGTCCATTGCTTTCAAGTTTTCC